AAAAAATTAATTTTACCGGACATTTATAAACATAAGAACAAATCACATTTTGATTTATAAAATGAACAATAAACTTAAATAATCCATTTCATAAAATAAAATGTGATTTGTTCTTATATTTATAATTATTTGATAAATTAATCTTTTTTAATAAATAATCTTTATTGTGAAATTTACCAAGTAGACGGTTTAAATTATCTATATATGCCCAAATTAGAGCGCACAAGAGAGAGGCATGGACAATAATAAAGGAGAGCTCATCCCCGTTAGTATGATGAACCAATTTAAACAAAATTTAATAATTAGCACGTGTTTATATGACGTTCACCGTATTATATAATATTTTATTGTTAAATAATAATATCACATCTTAATAAAAATAAGGATAAATTATAAATTTATTTTTTGAGATTTGATTAAAATATAAATTACCTATGTAGTTCTAAAAATTACATTCCACCTCTTTAAAGTTTCTAATTTTATAACAAATCGCTAATTTTATTAATAAATTATTAATTTAATCAATAGTTTTTAGTGATGTTAGAAATATGTTTCAATTAATAATTTATGTAATTTTATTATTGTATAGGAGATCAATTATGAATTTCATTTTTTTAATTAATTCTGCTAAATGAAAAATTCTAACAATGGGGTATTTGTAATTTTCTAAACCACAGAGAGTAATCTGTACTTTAGGTCATGTTTGATTCATAAGACTAATAATGAAAGTATTAATAATCCCATCAAATTAGTGTGGTATTCACTATCCAATTGGATTAGTAGAATAAATTATCTCCTTATCCATTATTTGATTTGCATTGGATAAGAAAACATATGAATGTAGGGTTATAACTATATTTATCTTTTTTTCCAATTTTCTTCTCCATCAATGTTTCTTCACAATCTTTATTTTATTAAAATTTCTTTACAAACGTGGTTTTGAAAAAAATTATAAATAAATAAATAAAAGTAAAATAAAAATACAAAATACAAAGGTCACGGTTGGTTTGTTTTTTAATTTTTTTTTAAAAATATAAACTAATTTGATAAAATAAATATCAACAAATATTTTTAAATTTTTAAAAATTATTTTTAGCCTTCTAAAATATAAAATTATATAAAAATAATAAGTGTTTTAATTTTTAGTCAAGGGTAAAAGAGTCCTTTTATTTTATTTCCCAACTCAAGATTTATAATCTCACCCCTATCTCATAACTAATAATCCTATAAATTTGTTAGATTAATTATCTATTAGATTAATAATCTTGAAACAAAATTTTAAAACAAATATAGAATTATTAGGCCTACGGATTGATAATTCCAATCACATATTCTAATCTTATCAATCAAACATGTTCATGACAAATTTTAAGAAATATATTTATAATTTACTCATAAAATAATATTATCGACATTATATTTACATTTTTTTCATGAGGAAAATAGAATAAATGGTTCCCACGTCAATTTAGAGTGGTTCAACATCAACGGACTTTTTTTTATTATTAATTTTTTATTTTTATGTGGTTTTGGTTTTTGTTAGGAGTTGTTTGGAATGTTCTAAATAAGTGTACTTTTTGACTTTTTATAAAAAGATATGTAAAAAATTAAAAAAGAAATGTTGATTAATATGATCCAAAAAAAATAAAAGATAAAAAATATTATTTAGGCTTCGTTTGGGAAGCCATGGTTTGGGTTTTTTTAGCTATTTTAGCCACAAAAAACAAAATAGACTATTTTAGCCATAACAAACAAAACATCACATTCAACCCATAATCATTACATTCTTCTCTCACAAAAAAACTCAAAAAAGTCAAAAAGTCAAAAAGTCATTCCCAAACCAAGTTTTTAAGCCCAGACTAAAATAACCAAAAAAACTAAAAAACCAACCCACTTTCCAAACAGAGGCTTAATCTTTCCAAACTTGTCCTTAATCTGACCTATCTATCAAATAGAATTAGGTAAGGTTTGGATGTTGCTTTAGTTCTTATTTTATTTGAATAATTGGCTGACTTTACAAAAAAAAATTCGCTCAGATGAGCTGTCCTTTCACTTCAAGTTCGAAAGTTTTATTACTGCATAAAACACATGACTAAAAAAATTTATTTCCTCAGTCCCTAACTAATAATTTTTTTTTAAGAAATTTAACCTTTTTTTTATAGTACAATTATTACATTTAAAAAATATTAATTTTTCAAAATTATCATTTGATAGTATATTTTTTAAAAAATATCAATTGTCATAATTGTACTTTTTGTATTGTTAATAAATTTAAAAGAAGTGTAAAATAGAAAATTCATATTGTTTTAGTTCTTAATTTTTGAAAAGTGACTAATATTTTAAGACAATAAAAAATAGAATATAAGACTAATATTTTGAGATGAAAAGAATATAACTTTTCACTTATTTGTATACTCTTAATCTAAACTATTTAATTAAACGTGTCAATTATTTTAAGAATGACCTAATCTATACTAATAATAGTATCAATCCTAACAAGGTTATAATAAAAAAGTTGTGTTATATTATAAGCACTAGTGTATGCCCGTACCTAAAGATACGGTGTAAATAATGTTAGAATTAAAATCTAAAGAAATATTATTCTTCTTAAAAACTTGTAACAATTTTGTTTGTACCACATATTGTATACAACTCAAATAAAATAACAACTCTCCCTAACATTAATGCAAATTAAGAAACAAACATATAAGTTTCGTAGCGTTCAAAAAAACATAAGTTTTATAAAATTTACCAATATTGCAAATCAAAATATGAGCAAGTAAAAAAAAAAAATTATAAACACTAAACAAAATACAGAAATCAAAGCTATTGTATACTCGTTAACATTCTATAATAAAAAGAAAAAAATTACTAAACACCACATAAAGCACACCAGCAAATGCCCTGCAATCTCAACAAATTATATTGAAAATTAAATATCAAACAATGTACACCAACCTGTACTCTACAATTCCAAACAAATCAAATATATATATAAAAAAAAAAAATTTAAATGCCAAACAATGCACATCAGCCAATGCTCTGCAATCTAAAAAAATAAAAAATAAAAATGCACACCAGCTAGTACTACTGTTGCCAATCAAATTATAACTATATAAGTAAAACAAACATTATATTGCCATACACCTGAGCCGATAATATATGTATGCTTTACAAAAGAATGAGAAAAATCTTTACAAAAGATGTGTTTGCTTCATAAAAAGTGAATGTATGCTTTACAAAAGAAAAAAATTGTGTTATATTATAAGCATGTTGTGCTTTCGTTTGGGATGTGAGTTGACTTTTTAGATTTTTTATTATTTTAACCTGGGGCTAAAAAGTCTCATTTGTAATAAGTCTTTTGACTTTTGTGAGAAAAAAATGAAGTGATTATGATTTAGATGTGACATTTTGTCTTAAACTTCATTCGAAAAGAAGGGTTGGGCTATTTTAACCACAAAAAGATAAAATAGGCTTTTTAGTCTAATAAGACAAAACATCACATCCAATCCATAATCATTATATTATTTCTCTCACAAAAGGTGAAAAAGTAAAAAAAAACTCTTTCCAAACGAGACTTTTTAGCCACAGGTTAAAATAGCTAAAATGTCAGAAAGTCAACTCACTCTCTAAACGAACTCTTATTGAACTAAAAAACCTATTTTATTTTTGTAACTAAAATCAACAATGATTGAGACCCCTATTTTTTGGAGATCCCACAATCTTTTCAAATATCTATCATTAATGGTGTGGATCCTACACATATATAAGTGAATCCCATACATACATAATAAATTATATTTTATGATACATAAAACTTTCTTTTAAAATTATTTTTCTCATCCTCTAGGATTCTATGGAAATTATTTATCTATTTTTGAAATCTTGTGACATTGCTATAATAGATTAATCCAATCTTTTATCGATTTCAAATGAAATTTTTTTTTTTCCCAATTTAATAAGAAAAAAAAGAGAGTGATAAATATCAATTTTTTCACTAAATATAAATAAAAACTTCCTTTGTTATCAAGTGCTCCAACGGAGAGTTTTGACTTTTCATTAAACCACCGGTCAATCGGGTGGACGATTGGCCATTGTAATTTATTCACAGATTTTTTACTTGAGGTGATCATTTGAGAGGACATCCGACAATGACATTGAATACTAATTTGATGAAAGAAACATTGGTTTTCACCTTGATGAAAAAAAAGTGAAATCCTCAATTTAATACCCCTTTGAGGCAACTGTTGGAGCAAAACAATGACTCATTTTTCATCAAATTCAAATTTGATAAAAGATTCGTAACCATCTAAACATTGAGAGCATTGGTATATATCACCAAATAAATTTTATTTATAGTTACTGCCACCAGTATTCTGTAAATATAACTAGGACTTTTACATGGTTATATTATATAACAAATGATGAATGTTATTAACTTCTATAACATAAAATATATAAAGAGAGTTGTTACATAAATAACTTATCTATGTAGACAATTATTGAAGTATAGGTGGCAAGAATTGTTGTTAATGCTAATTATACAAGAGTTCCCAAAAAAAAAAAAAAAAGAAGCTAATTATACAAAAAGAAAAAAAAAAAAGTAAAATGGGTAATGATTTTTTTTAGTTGGGGTGGGGGGCATGAAACCTACCAAGAGTGACAACCATGTCCTGCTCGTATTGCATCAACTTCATATTAAATTGTTAGTCAAGAATTGAAACTACTTATATTGTTTAACCATGTCAAAAGATTCAATTATAACATAATTTATTTATAAATTAATTATGCGTCTAAACTATTAGCGAATATCATTTTACTCTCTCCTCTAACATTAATACATTTTTAAGGCTGCAGGAAAAAAGAGATGGAGCTACTGAGTTGGGCTTAATCTTTATTTCCATAATTTGTTGGAATAATGTTCTAAAGGGTGAAATCAGAATTCAATACATTTTCTTTTGTTGATGTTATAGTCGAACAGCTAAAAACTAACAGTGACCTAATAGCATCGGTGAAATTGTTATACAACTATACAATTTAAGGAAGCATGGTGTAATTAATTAATTATCCCAGACTAATCGAGCACTGTATTTATCCAAATTATCGAGGAAAACCCGTGAAAGTAACCTAAATTTTAATTGATTCGCCCTTTGAGGTACGAACCTTATAGATACTGACTAACTCAAATCAGTAGGCAAAAAAAAAATATACGCCTTCAATAATGAGTCCTAGGAACCTTCACAAAGATTACAAAGAAGCATCATTTTCAGACTTGAGTAGTCCGCTTATACAAACAACATTTTCCGCCTCGTTTGGGAAATGCTTTTTGTGAGACCTATAAAAGGGTGTATAAGTTAGTGTAAATTTATAACATCAAACACAATTTGAGAAAAGAGAAATAATAAAAGCATATGTCAGCCTAGGAAAGAGGAAAAAAAATCAAATTTGATCATCTATATATTGACTTTGTTGTATCAAAACCAAAAGAACATTAAGAACAAGATCAAGACAACTTGAATCTCTATTTTCTTCTTGTTGGTTCGAAAGAAAAGAAGTAATTCTTTAATCATGGATATACAAAAACACAACAACACAAACGGGTAATAATAAATATAAATATACCTATTTTAGAAATCACAATCCGTCGGTTACTGATATAGAAGAGGACTCCCTTCTTTAGCAAGCACAAAAAGGCCACCATCTCCTCTTGAGATGCGAAGATCCTTGTCGAGGTACGTAGTAAGAAGCCACGATTTTGTTCGCTCGCCTGGAATGGGAACCTTAAGAGGAGACTGACCAGAAATAGTACGAGCTACATTCGCCACCACCTCTTGCAGAGGATTAAGAGCTTGCTGCACAGGAGACAAGTCGATTCTCTGCCCAAAAATATCAAGATACCCTGGCAAATCAATGCTCGACTTGACCTTTGGGGGCTGCACGATCCCTTCCTTAAATTCAACCTGCAAATTTGTGGACGTAATAGAAACATTTTAGAATCATTCTCCAATGCTAGATAATAATGTAGCTAAACAAATTGCCAAATTTTCCAATAATTCAAAATTAATGATATGCTTCAACACAGTCTAATGTGCATTCTCCCACCCATTTTCATTCCAGAATTTACCAGAGAATGTGTGCAAATTAAACTTTTCACCCTTCAATTTCACTTTGGTCCCTCATCTTCTAATTGCAACAATTAAGTCTTCATTAATTCAACTTGTGTCTCAATGTAGTCCTCCCAACACTCACAATTAAAAGTTTGAACATAAAGCAATAACGTGAGCACGTTTGGGCGCATTACAAGAAATTGTTTTATGAAAATTTACACTTCAAACTCTATTTTAGTCTCTTATGTTTAGACTTTCACTCAAATTTTGAAAGGCAGGGGCGACGGGAGGACCAAATTGAGACACAAGTTGAAGTCTGAGGACTTCATTACAATTAGAACGCAAGAGATCAACATGAAATTTAAGTGAAATTTGGAGGGTGAAAAATGTAATTTACCATTCTAATTTGGAGGGTGAAAAAAATCCAATCATCTTCCCAAACACAAAAATTTTAGCCTACTTAAAATAGCCAAAAACTAAAATAACCTACTAAAATAGCCACTTCCCAAACGAGGCCTATGTAAGACTATTTGGGTGCAGGTGAGTTAAAGCGTCAAACCTTCATAAATCTAATTCTTAAGATATTGGGATATGTATCCTAAAGTTGGAGATGGGCAGGGATACGCGTCATGGATACACAAATCTTGCATATTATATTCTTAGGTAAGGTGTTGTAAATTATAAAAAAATGTACTTGAAATTAGATAAGATTTTGATTTAGGAAAAATATAAAATTTCTATCTTTCATCCATGTGAAAGACTAGAAATGTTCTTTTACTAACAAATGTGAGCTTCTTCTTCTCTAAACATTGTAAAAAATTAGAGAAGTGTCTCCATTGGGTATGCTTGTCGGACACATATCCACACTCTTATCCGTCTCAAAACTTTAGAGAAACTAGAAGAGTCCATGTGACACAGTTTTATTGAAGCCCAATCCCCCATACACTACCAAACATGCCCTGTGATACATGCCAGTAGCAGAAAGTATGCAAAGCACATCCTTACTAATTTAATACATTTTAGACAGCTCACTTCTTCCAGTTTCATTATGTCCCCAACTGCACTCCACTCAGGTTCAGATCTAGAAAGGATTGTCAATGCAAGTCCTTCCAGCTACCTCCTTATCTTTATACCCCATATGTAGATGAAGATTTTTTAGCCGTTTAACACTTCCTTCACTCTTAAAACCACCTTTATCCTTGATTTTTCATGCATTGACTATACATTAAAAAAAAATGCATTTAACTTTATGCATTTTCCACTCAATGAATAAGGGTCACGAACATCATAATAATAGTTTACACTTTACACAACCAAAAAAAAAAGAGGAGAGATCGCACCCCATAAGAACAAAATTACTTCTGGTTGTGTCCAATTCCAACTTCAAGTTCCATGAGAAAAACAGAAATGCGAACTTCTGAACACTTGATCCCCAACTCTATTTTCCAGTATTACTACTTTTATCTCTTATCAACAAAATTTTAGTAATGTTCTTCATACTCAAATACAGATGCACAATTTTGGAACAACGAGATTAGATATTTAGATTGGAGAATTGAGCTAGAAATTTGGGGCTTAAAGCTCATATGTTTTGGGTGAGCAGACTGGGGGAACTATTCAGAGGTTGATAATATGTTGATATAATACACCACATCAATATATTTAATCTATTACTGGTAATTCATCCAATGAATTAATCTGCCTATTAATTGTTGCTTGTATGATTCTACTGTTCCATTTAAATTTAAATCCACTCTTCCATATTGCTAAATGCCCATGCATTCTTCACAGATTATAATCTAGCCCCCCTCAATTACTCCAAACAGTTGCTCCCATCTCCCACCAGGCTTACTTTATTGTCTGTGCCATAAGCAAAGATTACCAGATTTACCAAAATCATCACTTCCCACCACACAATCAGGTGATTAGTATGTACAACATGTTCCCTACTGAAACAACTTAATCTTTTGCAGCCCTGCTCCACCCAAAGAATTCGTGCAAAAAATCCACTGAGGGGTTGTTTGGGATGACCTAAATAAGTTCACTTTTTGTCTTTTTACGAAAAGATGTGCAGAAAAGTAGAGAGATGATGTGATAGAAAAAAAATAAAAAATGTGTACTTATTTGGGATAACCAAACTTGGCCTGAGTTTCACATGCTGACACCATTTATCAATTATTATTAAATTTCTCACATCTTCACCTTCATTTACACCATATCCAGTTCATACATCAAAAAAGGCAACTCATCCAAATTATCTTATTAAGCCTAATTACAGTCACCCATTGCTAAAAAGTCTAAAACCATTGATTCTAGAAACAAACAAGCCCAGGTAGTTATTGAAAAGCGACTGAAAAGTAACAAACTGATGAAGACATTCTTTGCAAATTTCATTTTATTTCTTTTTTTGCTTAATTTGTAGCTATATTCATCATTTTCCTCTTTAGTTTCAGTCAAGAAGTAATTGTGAAAAAAAAAAAGGTTTTTGAATAGAAGAACAAGAGAAATACAACCAACATTTCAATCCAAAGTACATGCAACACAGCCTTCAATTTTAGCATGCAAATTCAACTCTTATACATTAGCAACTTAGAATATTTAAGCAATTCATAAAAAGATTGTTGATCACCCACACAAGTGCAGAGTGTCATACAAATTCTGTTATTCTCTAATGTCATGCTCATGCTGCCTTTTTGAGTTCTTAGAGCATTTCCAATCCTTATCCAAATTTTGACTCAGACTTAAATTTTAGTAAAAAAAACCATTAAAATCTCTTCCACTGCTTTACCCAATCCTATATCAAATTGAGTTTTACTCAAATTTAGACTCAAATGACAGGAGACCCATTTCCTTTACTCAAATTTCTATTTAATCAAAACTTGACACAGAGCTGTTTTTACCCAAATTCTCCTTTACTTCCTAGTATCCACTCAAACTTGACACTTGCCAATTTTTTACACAAATTTGAGTTTATCCATTAGAGTGCTACTCAAAACTTCTATTCAAATCAAGGGTTGGAGATTGTCTTACTTCTTGCCCCTGATTATTCAACATAAACAATAAACAATTCATCACAACCAACAACACACAAGCCTAATTTATACTAAATTGAAGAAAAGAGACATCAATGGAATGGCCAAAAACCTAATAGCCTAAATTGAAGGATACATATGCTGAGGCAATGTGTACTTTTCAAGAGATTGATTAAGAAGGTAAATGAGAAAGAGATGATGATGATCCTATTATTACCTCTAATGAAAGATTCAGCAGTGTTAGTTAACTCTCATCAAAGACCTCGTGCAAAACGAGTGAGAAAGAAAAATCCACGAAACATCAGTCAACAAACCCTCAGCTATTATTCCATCTTCTATTGATCTATAACACACTCAAAAATCCCCAAATTTGTCAAATTAAAATCAACAGTGACTCAATGCTTAACACAAAAATACACACGCATATATATATATATATATATACACATTTCGAGAGTAGAGATTTGAAGCAAAATTGCAAACCAAAGAAATATGAGATTGTCGGAGTCGAAGAGTTCAAGATCTTGAGGAAGTTGAGGACGTCTACTTCGATTCTTGCTCGGACCTCAACAGAATAAATTCAATTTCAAACATTGATATTCACAACATATACATAATATATAGAGGTACATATACATGTGTAGTAGAGGTGCTAATTTGAGAAGATCAAAGGAGAGAGAGCACGAGATTGAGAGAAAGAGAGAAAGCGAGATTGGGGGGGAGAGAGAGAGAGAGAGAGATTCATACCAGTCGTATTACTGTGAGACCAATAGAGAGAGAGAGCGAGAGAGAGAACAATCGGTGTTTGTGGAGGGGCTAGGGCAAGTATAAAGAAAAAGGGAAAATAAATAGAAGAAAATAAAGGGGTAAATTGATTATTTGCGACGGCTAATCAGATGGTCGCAAATTATATAGTAGCAAAAGGTCAGTTTTCTAGTAGTGATGTTTCAATTAATAATTTATGTAATTTTATTATTATATAGGAGATCAATTATAAATTTCATTTTTTTAATTAATTGCTAAATGAAAAATTCTAACAATGGGGTATTTGTAATTTTCTAAACCACAGAGAGTAATCTGTACTTTAGGCCATGTTTGATTCATAAGACTAATAATGAAAGTATTAATAATCCCGTCAAATTAGTGTGGTATTCACTATTCAATTGGATTAGTAGAATAAATTATCTCCTTATCCATTATTTGATTTGCATTGGATAAGAAAATATATGAATATAAGATTATAACTATATTTATCTTCTTTTCCAATTTTACTCTCCATCAATGTTTCTTCACAATCTTTATTTTATTAAAATTTCTTTACAAGCGTGGTTTTGAAAAAAATTATAAATAAATAAATAAAAGCAAAATAAAAATATAAAATACAAAGGTCATGGTTGGTTTGTTTTTTAATTTTTCTTTAAAAAATATAAATTAATTTGATAAAATAAATATCAACAAATATTTTAAAATTTTTAAAAATTATTTTTAGCCTTCTAAAATATAAAATTATATAAAAATAATAAGTGTTTTAATTTTTAGTCAAGGGTAAAAGAGTCCTTTTATTTTATTTCTCAACTCAAGATTTATAATCTCACCCCTACCTCATAACTAATAATCCTACAAATTTATTAGATTAATTATCTATTGGATTAATAATCTTGAAACAAAATTTTAAAACAAACATAGGATTATTAGGCCTACGGATTGATAATTCCAATCACATATTCTAATCTTGTCAATCAAACATGTCCATGACAAATTTTAAGAAATATATTTGTAATTTACTCATAAAATAATATTATCGACATTATATTTACATTTTTTTCAT